TCAACGCCCCAACGTATACGTGACCTTCGACATGAGCCAGAGGACGTCAACCTTGCTCAAGAGACTGACTGACGGCCGCGCGTCGGGGCCATCTCTCCTTTTCTCCAGGACGTTGGCCGCCTGCCAAGCCTGTGGCTGCCAAAGCCCCAACGGCCAGGCCCCCGGCGGCGAGCGCTTGAGCCGGGCGCCGCCAGAACTGGCACCCAAGCCGCCAATTTGACCCGCAATCGGCCGCATTCGAGGCGTCATCCAGAACGCCAAGCGGATTGAAACCCCAGCCCGGGCCCCCGCGGCCAAATGTCGAGCGATCCGCGCACGCGTGTGCCAGCAGGCAGGCAATTTGGCAATCTGGCCCCGCAGTGACCCTCGGTTGCCTCGACCGCTGTTTGGTGCCACGCCGCTGCGACAAAACGTGCCGACAAGCGGGCCGCAGTGGATGGCGTCGCAGCCATGCTTCCGGGAGGCCCACTCCCGGGCGGCCCTTACGCTGACCTTTGGCAGGGAAGCGTGGCAGGCGTGCAGGGCAGATCAGATTTCATCCAGGTCCAGGGGTCGCCGGCCATCCTGGGGAGGGGCGCGCACGCGGGCCTGTCCTCCGTCATGGCCGGGCACTGCATCCGCAGGGTGCACGACTTGCCATCCAGGTCCTTCCCCTCTCCCAAGTTGCCCCTGGCCTGCCCCGCTTGTGTCAAGAGCTTGCGCGAGGGGGCAGTGGTTCTCCACCAGGCCGCTACATACTACATTTACGACATGTGGTTTGCCGCGTGCCCGCTGCCACAGGCAAGCCATCTGCGGGGGCGCGGTGCCTGGTGGGCGCGTGCTGAGGGCTCGGGCGCGCGGGCGCGCGTACGCGGGCGGTGAGATTCCACGCGAGACGCCGGCTCGCGGTGGAGCGACGAGAGCCCGTGACGGGAGCTCGCGGGCTGAAGTACGGCAGGTTCGCGTTGTGTCGACGTGGCGTCGACCCCGCCGTTCGCGTTCAAGGCTGAACGCCGCCAGTGGCCCAGAACCGGCTAGTATGGAACGATCTGATGATCGGAAAGCCTTATATCGTTCGAGGTTTAACGATCCACGTGGTGTCAGAAGCCAACGCCAGGGTCGTCACGACGCGAACTTGCCGTTGGCGGACCCCCACCAGCAGTTGCGGAACCCTTTGGGGTAAGCCGCAATTGCGGGCAGTGCGTTGAGGCGCTGAGGGAACAAGGCATGTTCCCCCAAAAAATGGCTCCTCCTCCTGCTCCTCCTGTTCCATCCTCCTCCTGCTCCTCCTGCTTCTCCTGCTCCTCCTGCTCCTCCTCCTCCTCCTCCTGCTCCTTCCCCTCCCCCATGTCATGGATCGCCCCCCGAAAACTTGCTGCTCCTCCTGCTCCTCCTCCTGCGGGCACCCGCGGTCCGCGCCTGGAATCTTCAAAGCATGCCCCAGGGGATGTGCTCGAGGGCACGCGGACGCCGTCGGCACATCGCCCGGGAGTGCATCGAAGATAACCACCGTGCCTCTTGGGAAGAGCGTGTGATTAAGGGAGGAGGATGTGGAACACAGAGGGAGGGAGTACAGAGAGAGAGAGAGAGAAGGAGAGAGGGAGACAGAGAGGGATTGGCAGAGCTGAACGCATGCGTGTCTGAATGCATGTATACATGCATGTATTCAGTTATATATGTTCTTGAACGGTTTGAGCTTGGGCTTTTTGAATTCGGTGATGTCAATACCTGCTAAACGATCCATGGAAGTTTACACATCGGAGTGCCCTCTCTCACCTGTCTCCGCTCTCCCCCCTCCATAGCCTGTCTTCGGCTCAAGGACGGGCGGCACGCCGCATGCCCGCCTCCGGCGGGCCCGCTGCGCTGCCGGCCTTGTGCGTGGCGCTGGTAGCTGGTCTGGACTGGCGAGCGAGCCCCCTTCGGCCTGGACCCGTGCCACGGAGTGAGGCTCTGGTGTGGCTCGACGGGGACGCCGACGCCGGCGTCGAGGCCTTGTTGGCGGCTCCGACTCCCACGGGGGAAGAGTGGTGCGCTGATCTCCCTCGCGGTGCTCTCGTCCGGGTGAGCTACGACGACGACGTCAAAGACCTCGAGCGGGTCGCGGTTTGGCCCTCGCGGCGAGTGGAGGTTGTCGAGCTGGTGGGTCTGCACTTCTACTGGGTCCTCTCGCCCGACGGCGACTGGTGGGGGGAGCTGCTCTCAGGGGCCTCACCTACCGACGGTCCTTCGGACGACGAGCGCATCGCCGACGGGGGTGCCTCGCCTGCTGATGGCCGGAAGCTGTGCAGCTTCGGCGAGCGGCCGACCCCTACTCGGCTCGTGGAGCCGGCCGACGGGTGCCGACTGGCGATGGAGGTTCGCGGGCAGGCGGCTGCCGGGGGGCCCGCCCACGTGGAGCTCGCCTCTGGCATGCTGCTGGAAGGCGGGGAGGTGTTCCCGTGGGCCGCGCCGCCGTGGCCGTCGCACCGACTCCACGGGAGGCAGGGGCATGTCTGGGTGCTGACCGAGCCAGTGTTCGACCTGGACATCGGCACGCTCGCGGACCCGTCGAACGAGACGCTCATTGGCGCTGGATTGGGTGCCCCCGGGCTTCGTCGCGGACGGGCGTTTCGTCTGGAGCTGGTGCCGCGGGACGACGTGGCAGGCTGGGCGTCACGCCGTGTGGCCGAGCTGGGCCGTCTCCTGGAGGTGGCAGTTCCCGTGGCGACGCTCGGCTCCTCTCCCCCGGGCGGTGTCCTGGATGGCGCCGCTGCCAGCGGCGCGGAGGGCGCTCCCGCCCGGGATGGCGCTCCGTCGGCTGTTGCTTTGGCTGACGCCGCTCGAGATGGCACTCGCATGTTCTGGATCGAGTGGGACGGCCAAGGGGAGCGGTACAAGGGGTTCAGAGAGGCCGCGAACGAGTCGGTGGGCTGCGTCGAGGGGCACCAGCGTCAGGAGGACGGCCTGACTCGCCTGCACACCTGCAAGATGATGTACCACACGATGGGCACCCCTCGGAGTTGGCTCGAGAAGTTCTTGAGTGACAAGCACGTCGTGCGCGCCGACCGGGTCGCCCCTGGGCCCTGGCCGCCGATGGAGGCGCTCGAGGAGGCCGTATCCTTCGACCAGGCCAACCTGGGGGGGCTCGCTCTCCCTGTGGTGGCCGAGCGCCGGCTCAACGTGACCGTGGACGCCTACCAGTGCGCTGGCACTTCCCCGTTCGCCACCGCCAAGTACTTGGCTCCGCTGGGCGAGTCAGGCGAGTCGACGGCGCCGTCGCCGAGGAGCCACGTGGCCTACCACATGAAGGAAGTCTGTGGGGTCGAGCAGTCCGTGATGAAGGCCGAGGCTGCGGACGCTCGCGTGACGTCGGGATCTGCTGCAATCCAGCCGGGCGCTGAGGGTGCCACCACAAGGATCGGCGGTGGGGACAGGGGGGGAAGTCGCTGCGGTCGTGTCCGCGGAGGTCGCACCCCAGGGCCCCCCCCGCCGGTCCATTCATGACCGAGAAGGCACAGCCGGGGGAGTGGGCCCCCCCCGGCTGGTACCACAATCTGGCCCGCGCATCACCGCTGCCGCCGTCCGATTTTGAGAGAGACCTGTTCCCTGTGCCGATGATGGCTGCGCCGGGCGGCTCCGCCCGTGGGCGCAGGTCTCAGCATAGGACTCGCGCTCGGCAGCACGAGGTGGAATTGGTGAATCGCGCCCTCCGCAGCTTGAACTGGTTGGCCGGCTTCAAGGGCGCGGCCGCTTCACCGAGTCCGGGCGCAACGACCCTGGACAAGCATGCAGCCCTTCAGCAGCACTTGCTTCGTGAAGCTCATCGGCGACAGGCCGCAGCTCCGCAGGTGATGCCGAAGGCGGAGGCAGCCCTGAGGGAGCTGCTCCGGGGGCAGTCCGTGTACGAGACGGACTTGGCCCCAAGGAACCTCGTCTCCTACCTGCCCGGCAAGGTCTCACTTCCCGACAGCGTGCTGGACTGCCGCTTCATCGAGGATATCGTGAGCCCTGGGTGCCGCTCGTTCTTGGAGGAGAACCACAAGCGTATGAGGTTGGAGCCGGAGTCAGTCAACTTCGACAGCATGCCGCGGCTATACATGGACCCGGTGCTGAAGAGGAACCCCAAATCTTACCGTACCTTTCTGCGAGATCTTGCTGGACGCGGACTTCTTGGTGTAACGGCTAGGCCCGCCGAGTCGGTGGGCCTGTTTTTCTTAGCTAAAACGAACGGGGCACAGCGTATGATAATTGATGCGAGGCGGAGCAACGGCCACTTCAGAGCTCCGCCAGGCGTGCAGCTTCTCAGCAGTGAGGGTTTCGGCCGGATCGAGATCGAGTTGCCGCCTGGTGTTCTGCCCTCGTCGGTTGAGGGGCAGCGGCTCCTGGATGCCTTCGCCGTCTACGTGGCCACCACCGACGTGAAGGACTGCTTCTACCGGATGCGCGTGCGCGAGGACCTTGGCCGCTACTTCTGCCTGCCCGCCGTCCCCAAGTACGTGTTCGACGGCCTGCAGGTGGCCGGCGTCCCGGCGGAGACCCCGCCAGACGCTCCCGTGCGGCCCTACTTGGCCGCGCTGCCTATGGTGTTCACGTGGTCGTTGTACCTGGCCCAGGCGGCGAATGAGGACAGGGCGTGCCGAAGCCCCAGCTTGTGCAAGGCGATGCCGGCTGGCAGGCAGCAGCCCTTGATTCAGGACCAGGCCGAAGCCTTCGTGCTTCGCGCCGCCTCGCGCGGGGTCGGGGGCGCCTACGTGCACGTGGACAACCTAGGCGCCGTGTCGGACGACGCCGATCTCAGTGAGAGGATGGTGTCAGAATGGGGCGATATTTTCGAGCCGGTCGGGCTGGCGCTCCACAAGTCAGAGTCCCACGGGGGCGCTGGTGAGGCTCTCGGCACCGAGCTTGACGGCGTCCGCCTTCGCTCGGGGATCACCTCGAGCCGGTTTTGGAAGCTCGAGCGAGGCTTAACTGGCCTTCTCGCTCGGGGGCGTTGCAGCGGCCAGGCGCTTGAAAAAGTAATCGGGCATTGCGCGTTTTGCGGCCTGGCGGCTCGTGAGTCCCTGTCAATCTTCCACACTGTCTATAAGTTCATTTCGGTTCAATATCTCGACGTGGGCCCGATGTGGCCCGAAGTGGTCGAGGAGCTCGTAGCTTTTAGAGGGGTCCTTTTGCTTCTGGGCCGCGACTGGTGGCTGCCATGGAACCCCTGCGTTTTAGAAACCGACGCCAGCCTAGCGGGCTGGGCGATGGCCCGAAGCTTCTGGGACCCAGCTCAGGTCGCCGGCGTCGGTCGTGTCAGCGAGCGCTCCCGTTTCAAGCGCGTCGGTGCTCACTCCGCTCGGGAATCCGCACTCACCTCCGCCCACCTCTTCCGTGACGAGTCAGGCGAGTGGAGAAGCCAGCTTCTAGGAGACGATCCTCTTTCAGACGACTGGGAGGTCGTTGCGGGTTTTCCCGAAGTCCCCTGGCAGCTCCTCCGGGGCTCGGCCTGGAAAACCGTCCGGAAGGGGGTTTGGGGCCTTAGCGAGGGTATTCTGGTGCTGGAGGCCCGGGTCTTGGTGAAGGCCATCCGTAGGCTCGCCAGGACCAGACACGGGTCTTGCATCAGACAGCTTTTCTTGCGTGACAATATGGCCGTGGTCCTAGCTTTTGCCCGCTCGAGGAGTCAGGACTTCAAGCTTCTGGTCCAGATTCGACGCTTCAACGCTTACGCTCTTGCCCTTGGCATCGCCCCATATTTTAGATGGATCCCTTCGGAGTTTAACCAGAGCGATGCCGGGAGCCGCGATCACTCGGAAGTCTCGTCCAAATTGCTAACCGATGTCCTGGATCAGCAGGTTAGGATCTCGTCCCCTTCTTCTCTCTCTGCTCTCCGTAGCCGTATTGGCTCAAACTATGTTCAGGCCTCCCTCGCTTCCGTGCCCGAGGAGTCTGTCCCGACGGATGTGTGCTCGGACGCTGCAGCCGACGTGGGCCCCAGTGCGGCCGATCTCTCCAGGGCCGCTACGTGTTCGGCCCAGACCTGGCGTTCGCCCGCCGCCTTGCCCGAGTGCTCCGCTGGCGGCGAGGGCGAGGGCGAGAATGCTGACGGGGCCCCAGAGAGCGACGGAGGCACGTGGCCCCAGAGCCCGCCTCGACGCGCCGACGGGGGTCCACGGCGCCCGACCGGCCCGGACATGTCTGGAGCGCCGCCCTTGCCAGCCGCCGACGTCGCCTCCTGTGGCGCTCGAGGACCTCGCTCCCGCGGCCTCCGCTGGCGACGACGAGGCGGGCGCCGAGGGAGAGGGCGAGTCGAACGGGCCCGACAACGTGGTGAACCATGCGACGGCGGCTTCGAGGAGATCTCGCCGCCTCCAGGACTCCCGGCGCCAACGCCAAGAGGCCCTCCACACGGACATGTTCATGCAGGCCGTTGTCGGGGGGCCCGCGTTGCTGGAGCGTCTGGCGGTGACTCGCCGGGCGAGGGATCGCTACGCCAATTATTTCGATCGTTGTTACTCGCGTGCCGACCCGACCAACGACAAGCTCATGAGGGGCACGAACGAGGCCGTGGACTGCTGGGCGTGCGTCTACTTCAACGCGATGTACCTGTCCGAGGAGCAGAGCGGCCTGGAAGACCAGACTGGAACTGCCCTGGTGGACCGGCGCCCAGCTTTCGACCAGCGGGGCGGGGGAGCCCCGCCGCGGACGTGGCGAACGCTGGAGACGTGGAGACGACGGGCGCCTCCGCGGACCCGCCAAGCACTGCCGTTCGCCGTGCAGTCGCCGGGGGTGTGGCTGCTGGCGGACAAGGGCCTCCCGCTCATGGCTCTGTTCTTAGCGGTGGGCCTCTCCGCCTGTTCCAGGTCCTCTTCTCTGGTGGCAGTTCTAAGGTGCGCCCTGGTCCCACCGCCGCGCGCATCAGTGGACAGCTGGAACCTTCCGACTCACCCCGAGGAGGAGGGAAGACCGAGCAAAACACATCGCTACAACGAGGGGTGCCTCCTGGAGTCGAGCTACTTCCAGGGGGCAGGCCCTCTATTCCCCGAGCCCGGAGTGAGCGGAGACCGACCAGTGCTGTGGCCCTTCGCGTACCTAGAGCTTTCAAAGGCGGGCAGCTGGCGGCGGCCGAGGACGGGGTCGACGGGCTGACATTGTACCACCTTCGCCGCTCAGGCGCGAGCATCGACGCCAGCAGGCTCTCGCGTACCCTAGAGGAGATGCGGATGCGGACCTGGCAGTCGCTCGTGCCAAGCTAAGGCGGACCTCCCGCGGCTGTCGCGAGAGACGCCTCGCCGCACAGCGTTTTGGCCTCAGAGGCCGGTATGTAGCGGACTTTTTTGCCGGGAGCCGGTGCATCTCGCGAGCAGGAGATAAACTAGGCTTCAGGACACGCAGTTGGGATGTAGCCCGCGATCCAGTCTGGCAGAATCTTGTTGACCCAAAGGTCCTTCGGGCAATCCGACGCGACGCCCGTCGGGGCCTAATATTGGCAGCAACTTTGGCCCCTTCTTGCCAAACCTTTTCAATCGCGCGGGATCGGACAGCAAAGATCCGGTCCCCGGACATGCCCTGGGGGTTGCCCAGACAGCTGCTCAGCGCCACAGACCGAGAGAAAGTCAAAGTAGGCAATCAGATTGCCCACGCTGCCATAGGATTATTTGCTCTTTTCCATCAGCTCAAGATCCCTGCCGTTCTTGAGCACCCGCTCACCTCTCGTCTGTGGCACACCGCAGAGATCCAAGCTTTAGCCCACTTGCCGCATGTCAGTTTAGTTGAATTAGACCAGTGCCAATTCAGAGCCCTATGTAAGAAGCCAACCCGCCTGATGTTCTGTCACGTAGCAGTTGACGACCTTAAGAATCTGTGCAGAAAATGCTGTGGTCAGAAAGGACGGTGCTCGCGGACAGGCCTCCCTCACTTCCAGCTCGAAGGAAGCGCCCGCGCCCGTCCAGCGGCCGCCTACCCGCCTGAGCTCGCACACTGTATGGTTCGAGCGTTCACTGCCGCTTGTGTCGCCACGTTCGGATACAACTCAAGATCCCTCCCTTCCCAACCCTAGTGAACTCCCGTACTCGGGAAACTTGGGGAGGAGTGAGAGCGTGCAACGACTTTAACCTCTGGCCTGGACGTTTCGAGGCTTTCGTCAGATTCATGTCCCTGCAATGTGAAAAAAGAAGTGGCTCTATATGTTCTTGAACGGTTTGAGCTTGGGCTTTTTGAATTCGGTGATGTCAATACCTGCTAAACGATCCATGGAAGTTTACACATCGGAGTGCCCTCTCTCACCTGTCCCCGCTCTCCCCCCTCCATAGCCTGTCTTCGGCTCCCACCCTCCCACCCTGGGAGGAGTGAGAGCGTGCAACGACTTTAACCTCTGGCCTGGACGTTTCGAGGCTTTCGTCAGATTCGTGTCCCTGCAATGTGAAAAAAGAAGTGGCTCTGTTTATGTGTATGTTTGTATGCATGTATGTATGCCTGTCTGCATGTATGCCTGTGGACATGTATACATGTGATTATAGACGCATGTAATTATAGACGTATGTATGAAACGATGTAAGTAAGTCTGTATGTATGCAAGTATGTAGATACATGCATGTACATGTGTGCATGCATGTATGCATGTGTATATGCATGCATGTATGTATGTATGACTACATGTGTATATGTGCATGTGTGTAGGTATGTGCATGTATGTGTATGCGTGTGCAGGTGCGTGTATGTGTATGCCCACATATAAATACAGGTATATGCATTGGCATGCATGCGCATGTATGTGTGTACGGATAGGCATGCGTTTACGTATGTATGCATGCATGTACACATGCATATGTGCACGCATGTATGCATGCATACATGCATGTGTGTGTATGCATGTATGGCGTGGGTGCATGCGTGCCTGGCTTGCATGTACGGCTTGTATACAAGGCTGCATGCACGTATGTTTAGGTATGTCAGCATGTATGTGTACATGCTTGCATGCATGTATGCTTCTAAGTATGCATGCGTGTACGTCTGGATGTACGTACGTAAGTAGGTGTGCGTGCCGGTATGCACGTATGGGTGTATCCATGCACGTATGAATATGTGCGTGTACGTATGTATGCGTGCATGCATGCATGTATGGAAGTATTCATGTTTGGCTTGCCTGTAAGTATGTACGGCTTGTATGCGTTGCTTGTATGTGTGTATGCATTCATGTATGCATGCATGCATGTATGCATTCATGCCTGCATGCATGCATGGGCGGAATCATGGATGCATGCATGTATGCATGTATGTATACCTTCATGTAGGTAGGTAGGTTCATAGACACACGTAGGTATACGTACATACATGCGTCCATGTATTTCCCAACCAGGCGTTGGCGGCGAGGGACGCGGGGTGCAGGTCTGAGGTGGCCCCGCCCGCGGAGCTGCCGCGTGAAGGCTAGCCAAGTCGGGGGGAATAACCAGACCCAGAGTGGTCTCGTGCAGGCCGTCCGTCTGCCCGAGAAGTTTCCAAGCTAGGGTTTGCACATATAGATATTCTTACTTACGTCGCTGAGGGATTCCATGGGTCCGTCGAGGATTTTCCACGATGCCGCTCGTGGCCGCCTCGTCGCCGCCTAGTGCTCTGGGTGGGCCCAGCGAGGTTTCGCCACGTTGCCGCCCATAACCGCCTCGTGGCCGCCTTGTGTGCTGGACGGGTCCTGCGTGGTTTCTCCACGTTGCCGCCCGTGGTCGCCTCGTTGCCGCTATCGCTTGCAATACATAGTTTGCACCACATAGCTGACACCACGTAGCCTGCACCACATCGCTTACCCATCCGAAACTCAATACACTTACATTGTTTGGGGTCCGCGCTGGCTGCTGCATGGCATCTAATTGTAATGTGCATGCTCGAACATACATATAATATACATGTGCATGTATTAGAGGAGGGGGGGGGTAAGTGAGAGAAGTGACGGAAGGGAAAGGTGGAGTCGAAAGATGATGATGACAAGGGAAGCAGGATGACACGGATGACACGGAAGAGAGCATATTATGAAGAGGATCGCAGAAGAGGGCGAGGAGGATTATGAGGGGTGGACGGAGCGGATGAGACGTGGTTGGGCCCCATGGTATCCCTTGTCATGTGTTTGCCGGTTGTTTCACGATGGGGGGCGCGGCTCATGTTGGTATCAGAGCCTTGGTCGAGCCTTGGGCCTCCCGGATTCCAGCTGCCGGCACGGGACTCCATGCGCCCGGTCCAAGAGCCTGAAGTTTCACGGCCAAGCCCGTTTGGCAGTACGGTTGTATTGCCCACGTGCTGGGTTTCACGGGCCGCCTGCGCTGCCCTCGCATGTGGTTCCCGATGCTGTAGGTAGCCTCTTTGGCACAACGATGTGTGTGTATATATAATGCACACTGATCTATATGTAGATCTTCCTTGGATCCTTGTTGCTTCCGCCGCAAAATGGAGAAGGCAGGTTGGATTGCAAAATGCCTGGGGGATGTGATCTCACACCACACGGAAAAGTGACGGCTCGGAGTTGTCGAAAACATTTTCGGAAATTGGAGCATATACATTGCCAGTGGCGGGCGGTTTTTCAATCCCAGGGCTTTTTTGAGGGTCGGGGACGACGTCGGGGTGGTGTGGTGTATATTTTTTCTCCGTTTTCCCAGGGAAGCAACGAAGAATGTATACACCAGGATCCCGTATACACCAGGATCCGCTTTCCTGTGCGAGATTCAGTTTGAGGCCAGAGTTCGGCTCCTTACATCCTTTCCCAACCGAAGTTTGGAAACCAGCGGTCTGTCGCCTAGTATGAACCATACCGCTCGAATGTGTGCGCAGACATCTACGCGCACGGGTGGACGTCGCTGCGCCAGTGCACGTGCATATGTGTATGGATGTGTGTGTGCTAATGTTGGACGTTCGGTACATTCTTTTGCGTTGCCGGCTCAGAGGTGTGGGGACAGGGGGGTCAGAAATGCTTGGTGGGGCACGTGGACTCCCCCCCGCCTCTCTCGCCCCTTTCTCTTCCTGCTTCCGCCTCCCCCCCGTCTCCCTGCCGCCACCTCCGTCCTCAGCCATACAGTCGGCGCCTCGCCGACATGCCCCCCAGAAACGCGCACGCCTGCCAGCATACTTTGTCTGGCCTGGCTCCGCACAAACATGTGCTGCTCCACAGGTTTTTGTTTGCATTGGTGTTGTCGGCACGAGTGCGCTTACAAGGCTCCGCGTACACACTTGTGCCCCGACCTTGTACAGGGGCTCACGTTGTGACTGTGTGTGTGTGTGCTCGCTCGATGTTCTCCTCCTCGTCGCTGCGCGCGAGGCCGCGATCGCCCCAACAGTGTGTGTGTGTGTGGGTGTTTGTATGTTTGTATGTGTCTTCCTCTCTTGGATGAGCTCTAGAGTTTTCTGCGGCTATCGTGGTTGCAGTCGCTGGATAGCCTCTGGGCAACCCCTGCCAGCCGCGCAGTAGCCTATGCAGTCCTCTAGTAACATCTGCTGGGTGCTTCCAACCGAGCTGATGTGTTACTGGCTTAGTCTAATGAGTCACGTCAGCGAGGCTAAGCCGCTTATTCGTCAGGAAGATTAGAGGAGTAAATCTCGGATGGTGCCAGGGGGCAGCACATGTTCTTAATGGGGCTGGGGTGGCGGTGCTTGCCACAAGGTTATGAAGTTGCTACAGCCATGATTTCCGCAAGACAGCCCTGAACTCATCGGAATTTCGCCCGCCGCCGCGCTTCACACGCTGGCAGAAATCGGCTGACGTTGGCTGAAGTCCAGCCGCAGGACCCCAGGGGGCCCATGTGGCGATCCAGCATGCATCCAGGATAGATGCGAGGTTCCAACGACGGCATCCAGACGTGACAAGAGTTTTCCTGTAGAGCCTCATGGGCCGAAGGTGACCCCCACGATAGCCTCAAGATGGCCCGAGAGGGTCCAATCAAGCAATCAAGCCTCCAAGATGGCTGCAAGCAGGTCCCGAGAGAGTTAATCATGCTTGGCAAGCGATGCTTCATCCCATATGTGTCTTCGTTGGGCGCTTTTCCCCATGTCATGCCTTTGGTGCACCTTCAGAGGGCCTCCAATATATTTAGAAAGTCGAATCACGGCCCAAAGAGTCCCCCATTAAAGCACACTAGCCCTCCAAGGCGACCCTGTGGTTCCGAGAGGCCCCAAGGGGCCCCCAGGAGCGCTTCGAGAGGCCCCAGGATGCCCTCAAGGAGGACCCCAAGAGGCTGCGACCGACCCCCAAGAGAACTTCAAGATCTCTCGTGAGGGCGCCGAGAGGCCAAGACTGACCAAGAGGCTTCAAAACACAGTGCCAAAAGGAAGAGCTCCTTGCCGGAGGCTCTCCAGAGGCTCTTCTATGTATATCCTTTGTTCCTCTCCATTGATTATTCCTCCTACCCCACATGGCCGCTGTTTCCCATCATCTCTTCCTCGCTTCCTGAGCCGTGTTAGGCCCCACCAGAAGACTTCTTGAGGGTCCAGGGGGGGCACCCAAACCCGACACTGATTTGACACAGCCTGTTTCCTTCAGGGAGTCTTGCTGGATAAAGCGTGTGCCAAACTTGCATCGGAATCACGGTGTCCCGAACAGCCCCCCCCCCCAAGAGTCCCGCTGGGGACATCTGGCAGGCGCCCGGGCCGTTCTGGGCCCTGCTACCTGCTCTTTGGAGGTCCCAGTGGTCGCCCAACCCCGGCACAGAGCACGGATTCGGCACAGCCCGCCTCTTGCAGGGAGGCCCTCTTGTGCCGACTCTCTGTGAACATCCGTGCATGTGTTTGGTGGCTCACGCTGGCGCCCCAGGCAGCCCCAGAGGTCCAAACGCGGAATCAGCTCGGGGACACCTTGACCTCCTATACCTCGCAGGTTGCCCACATGAGCTACCGTCAACCCGCATAGTAAGGATGGGCACCCTTCCCAAGGGTACCCGTGCATCCTTGCCTCCTCGGTCCCGCGCCCCGCTCGAGAAGCTTCGAAATGGCCTTCAAAGGCCCTTGCATCCTTATCTGTGTCATTCGTATGTGTACGGGTTGACTGTACGGTGTCGGGGTTCGTGTCTTCGCCAGGTCTTCTCAGCGGCAGCTGGCACGGGCCACCGCGGTCGAGCAGCGCCGTCGTGCAGCCAAGCTTCCCTGCGCCCAGCGCAGGGGCAGGAGAGGGCAGGCGATGGCGCGGCGGCCGCGGGAGCGGGAGACGAACCCGCGTACACACGTGCAGCTCCGAGAGGCACGCGCACGGAGACGATTTCGCTCGTTTTCCTGACCGCGCGCAGATGTTCGGAGAAAAGCGCCACAGATCCGCGCTGGATTTCTGGGATCCGCGCTGGCCCCCCCCCCGGCGGCGCCTCTGGCGCCGCCCCTGGCCCACTCGGCGCGCCAGGGAGGGGCGTCCAGCGCATGTCCAAGAATTCCGCGCGGAGCGTCGAAAGTTTATATTTATGCAGACCTGGCTCCAGACAGTGGTGGGGACGGCGGAGGCCGACGATGGAACAGCATCGGGGAGAGTAGGAGAGGGATCAAGTGGAGGACGGAGACAGCAGCTGGAGTGACGATTCGAGGAGAGGAATCAAGGGAGAGCTTCGTATTTGGATGGAAGCGCAGCAGGTCAGGATATAGGCGGATGAGAATGGAGTTAGAGGGGCGGGTCGAACGACTAGGACGTGCAAGCTAAGGAGGCGATTGGGGGTGGAGGGGGAGGAGGAGACCCAACGATGAGGACGAACCTATCAGGAGGATGGGAGGAAAGAGGCGCGTCAGCACGCAGAGAAAGCGAGCACACGGATAGTTTTGAGATCGAGAAGGAGGGGGCATTCGCGAGGTGGAGGAAGGGGTCTGGTTGCCAGTGATGTTGTTCGTTGTCAGTCGGGACGCCAGCAGAAGTAGTAGTACCAGTCGTGTTACCAGCAGGTGCCGCTGCACTGGAAATCGAAGTGGTAATAGTCGTAGCAATTGTTCTTAGTCGCAACTGTGGTAGATCGTATGTTGAGCACCCGTAGTGGTTACACACGAGTCGTACGTCCGTGTTGTCCAACAGTTGGAGTTGCATTAGCCGGGGCAGGCTTCCGCTATTTATGCCGTCATTCGTTATTGTGATGTTGTTTGTTGTAATTGGCCTGAACGTGTATCGTATGGTCACGCCGCGCTTGCCGCGGGAGTTGCAGACGTATGAGTTTTTCAAAATGCTGACGCTAGTTTCAACATGGCTCCCTGCGGACATTTCCAATGTGTTGGGTACGTTTGATATTGGATGAGCTTGCCCGTTCGTTATAGGCATGTGTTGTTACGCCTCTGTGCACCATATTCTGGGCTTTGTCAAGTCAGTATTTGGTGCGGTTTAGCATGTTTAGTTCTTGCGCGAGGATGCCGGGCATACCACCATCGTTTGGTAGGTGCAAGTGGCGCACGAATCATCGACTCTTGTTAGAGTTCCGAGGCCGTGACGGCCCG